AGGGACCACTAATCGGTTCTGTGGGCATGGCCTAATTTGTGGGTGTAGTTTGGATATGTGACTGGCTGGGCATGGCTTGTATGTAAATATTATAAATATTTATATAAATATTGAATTTTTTATTTAAAAAAGAGCAATTTTTACCCAAAATCAGGCAAAGCAGGCAGGCAGATTGAGTTGCTCACCGAATCATTCAGTGATCTATCTATCTGCTATCGGCTACCTGAGTCACATAAAATTTACTTGCCGTGAGTCTGCACTGAATAATAGAACCTTCAGTCCCAAGGGAGGTTCGGCTGTGCTTAAAAGCAGAGCTGAAGATCTAAAGACTAGCTAGAAAGCAAGAAATCCAATAATTTCCTGCTTCCTAGCTCATCTAAATCTCCCAGCACAGCAGAACAGATGATGGTCAGAAAAAGGAAAAATAGCAATTTAGCAGGCAAGTTTGCTGGATAAGGAGTGAGTCGGTGGGGAGGGTTCCCACGGGCCATGTGGGCGGTGCAGCCTTGTGTTTCTGCGCAGCCTGGATAAATTGCTTTGTGGGGCTGCCCTGGGGGTGAGATTTCTCTGGGGCCCACCAAAATTTTCTCGTGGCCCACCTGTTAACAACTCTTAATGCCTTTTTGGCTATGTAGTTACAGTGGGCTCTAGCACGTAGATCATTCGAGATGAGCATTCCAAGGTCCTTTACAGAGCTTGGATCATCAACAAGATCTTGACTATTCAGCTTGTATTTTATTTTCTGATTATTTTTTTTGCCAATATGTAAGACAGAGCATTTATTTGTTGAGATTTGAAGTTGCCATTTGTTTGACCATTCTGATACATAGTCGAGGTCTTTTTGAAGGGTAGCAGCATTGTCTGTGGTGTTGAATAGCTTTACATCATCAGCGAAGAAAACGCAGTTCCTCTTGATATGATCACAGAGGTCATTTATGTAGAGTATGAAAAGAGTTGGTCCTAGAACACTGCCTTGGGGGACACCACTGTTGACAGGTACATAATTTGATAGGATGCTCCCAATTTTGACCATTTGTTGTCTGTTTGACAGGAATGCGTCTATCCAGTTATGCGGGTGTCCAGAGATACCGTAATATTTTAGTTTTAGGAGTAGTTTGTCGTGTACCACTGAATCAAAGGCTTTACAGAAGTGTATGTAGATTGCGTCTATTGCTTTGCCCTGATCGAGTTGTGTAGTCCATATGTTTTTGCAGTGTAAAAGTTGCAGATTGCATGATAGATTACATGATTGTGCAGGATTTGCTTAATTAGACAACCATTGTAAGTTGATGTAATCATGTGACATCGTGCTTGATGACTGCATTGCTTAGCAGCGGAGTTATGAATCCCAATTGCCATTGTTAAACAAGAACTACCTGTTCCAGCATTCTAGACACAAATCAGTGGGTTGAGCAAGATCTTGAGCAACCTGGCCAGTAGGTTAAAATCTGCTACACTGGCATCTGCTGATCTCAATCCAAGCTCCCTGCAATGGAACAAAAATAAATGTGTAATAATCTTGCTTTTCAAAATTATTTGTCTATATTTTTCTGCAAGTTGCTAAGTAATGCTTTAGTATGCAATCATCCAGTTTCTAAATCTTGTGAAAACGTGTAGCATGTCGAGGTATGCCTAGTAATAGAACCAGTTTGTTGTGGAGAAAGTAGGAGGAAGAGGGAGCTTAGGTATCTTTACTGCCTTGAACTGATCAAAAATAAAAGCAGTTTAAAAATCAAATAAACAAATACACCCATATTTAATTATGGAAAAGTGAGATAAATTCTTTTTTGATATACTAACAATTTAATCAAGTATTGAACAGTTGCAGTAGGTTTTAAGGGTTTAATACTATCAGTGGATGGCAGTTTTGTTCACAGAGTTAATTTTCGGATTCAACACTTGAAAAATATTTTAATGTCAAGGTAAGGGAATAGGGAATATGAATATTCACATATCCACTGCCAAAAACTACCTGAGAATTGGAGAGATGATTCAGGCAAGATGCATGAACTTGTTGAAGTAATTTGCGGTTTGATATTGAAAATAAAAGAGAACAAATTTGAATTTGGTTATGTTAGCCCTGATACAATTTTGCATATTACTTTTCACAAAACCGACTCCATTTTACAAAAAACCCTAGACCACTTTCACTGTAAAAGAGGTGGAGAAACGCTTCTTCCAAGTTCTTTTATGTCATTACTAGATCATTATTTGACCTTTGTGCTTTCTGTACCACACATACATGAGGTCATCATTCATAGTATTCTATTCCGGAACTTCCATAGGATAAAGTCCCATTTCCAATTTACCATGCATGTCCGAGACATTCTTTGGCGCTTACACCAATTTATTTTCAACTGTCATAGCTATACCAGCAGAAGAAATCCTCATTGAGAAAAATTATTAACAGATTGCTGGATTTCATTTTTTTTTCTCTTCTCCATTTCTTTTATCTCCATGATTACCATCATCATGATGGTCTGGACTATTGGCAGATCTAGCACCATCAACATGTTTTGTCTGGAGGGCATCTTAAGAGCTTGAAAATATTTTCCTTAAATGCATTCAGTGCAGTAGCAAATTCCATATCCCCAGACAGAAGCTCACTTCACTGTAGTATTTACGGAAAGGCCAGTTAGTCTACTTTGTCACTATAGATTTGTACTATAGCTTTAAACAAGGCCTCTGATTGCTTCAGTGCTATTGAGGAAATCTGGGCTCAGTATGTTAAATAATGTTAATTTTGTGGTTGGGAAACAGCCCTTGAAACCTGCAAATACAGCGAAGCTCCTTCTATTCAGTTGAAGGACAGGCAACTTGTCGATTTTATTGACTAAATATTATGAATTTTCTTATAATACTGTATTACCTGATTATAAAATTATGAAGTGTAAACTTTGAATAAGTCCCAGTTGGTCAGTTGGTAGGATTCAAGTTTCTTCCACCTTTCACTTTCTTAAATTTCATTACCAACAAATTTTTACTACTGGTTCTGTGGCCGTGGCTTGGTGGGCATGGAAGGGGAAGGATACTGTAAAATCTCCAGTCAGAGGTGGTATTTGCCAGTTTTCTGAACTACTCAACATTTTTGCTACTGGCTCTCCAGAACTGGTCAGAACCTGCTGAATACCACCTCTGAAGTTGGTCTATGTCAGTCCTAAAATGTAGTGCCCAGAACTGGATGCAATGTTCTTGGTGCATTGTGTCCAGTGTAAAAATAGAGGTGAATATATTTTCTTGGTGCTAGATTTCGGTCAGATTTCACTTCCTTTTTTGCAGTTTCAACATTGTTTGGTTCTCATGTTCCATTTTCAATCCACCAAGACGTTTTTTTTTTACTTGCACTGCTGCTCCTTGTGCTTGTTGCATCTTCTTTTTGCCATGTCTTATTTGCCTTTTTCTTTTCTAAAAAAGGACTTTTCTCCCTTCTAAAATTCAGCTGCCTGCTGCTTCCTACCCACTGTCAAAATCCTGAATCTTGATACTGTATTCTAAAGTATTATTATTGCCTTTAGCTTTGTGTTATCTGTAGATAATGATAATTTACAGCCTTCAAGTAATTTATAGCTATATGGAATAGTACAGTCCTCTAAGTTACACTGTTTAATACTTTCTTCCCACTTGACTTGTAGTCATTGATGTACAACCAACTTTGTATCCATCTAATTCTAGCACAGATCATCACATATTTCACATCTTTTCTACTAGAATATCAAACTTTTTTGCATGATTTTCAGAACTCAAGTTATCTGCCACATTTCTATGATTGACTAAACTAGTACACTATTAAAAAGAGTGATCAGTTTAATTTGACTTAATTTGTTATTATTTGTTATTAGCCCATCCTGACTGGAGAGTGATGCAGTATTTTCTTAGTGTGGTTAAACTGACAGTTTAATAATCTGTTTCAAATTTTGTCTGTTATTGACATCAAGCAGTCATCAACCTGCATCTTCACACTCTTTTGAAGTTAAGAACAATATCTGACTTTCTCCAAAACTTTCACAAGTGTAAGTGTTCTCTATGATTTTTCAAAGAAGGTAGAAGGTTCACAGTTCCCTGAGATGACCTTCAGGGCATCTAGATATAATTATCTGGTCTCACCAACATCAGCTTGTTCATATTAGCCATATTATCCCTAAATCTCTCTTTACTTAGTTTCTGCTTTGGTCTTTTTTAACACAGTTTTCATTTTTTGTTGCTTGTGGCTTTCAGTTTAGTCTTCCTTTCTACAGTTTATAGCTTCTGTGTATATTTTTGGGGTGATTATTCCCATCTTCGATTTTTATACAGATTCTTTTCATTCTTAACTAGTAAAACACCAGTCAAAACATGTATCTATAAATATGTGCTATTCTTCCCCCTTGCAGATGGAAGAACTTGAAAATGTATATCATTTAATTGATTTTTCAAAAATCTCGATTCTCAAATATGTCCTTTGATCTAAGGATAATATTGGGGTCCCACATAATAGTTCTCTAAAACTTACTGAAATTTTTTTTTTAAAAAAAACTAGTATGTACATACACCTGTGTTCCATTTTTTTCCTGTTATATCTTGAAACATGGGCTGATTCATGCAGCAGAAACTTTAGGTGAAAAATTGAAAGGTGTAAATAAAGCCGTTCTGATAACTTCTCTGATAAATACTACTGACTAGCAAGCTATGAATATTGTTTAGAAACCTTTTTGCTGTTCTTGAGCATAAGTTCAGTGAGCAAGCATAATTGATAATGGTTTCTGTGGATGTTTCAGATGACATGAAAAGAAATTATTCAATAAAACCAGCGTGGTAGAATTTTTTTTTTGGTATGTTTTTTTGGTATATTTCCAGAATAGAGTTTAGCAAATCGAATTATTCCTTTGAGTTTAAAATTAACTCTTTCCCTTGGGAGAGACTTCTTACCCTGGCATTTGGTATTGTGTTTATGATCTTTAGGAGTCAAACACATAGATTTTTGTCCTCAATTCCTAACTGTATTGGCTTTTCCCCCCCAACAGATGCCATCTCAGTATGGTCCACAAGGTATAACTGGTTACTGCCAACAGCCATATTACAACCAGCAACCACAACCTCAGCACCTGCCTCCTCAGACCCAGTACCTCTCCCAGGCCCAACAAAGGTACCAGACGCAGCAGGTAAGACCAGTTCAAGACTAGAACAGTGATGATGAATTCTATATAAAAAAGAGGATTGATGAAATAGATCTTAACCAAGACCTCATTTTCCCATTGTACTATGCAGCTATTTTCATTTTAATTTATATCACATGATTTGCCCTGGTTTTTGGATCAGAGTGATTCTTCTGACTTCCCTATATTTATCAAAAGTTATCACTAATACCTGTCTGCCTTCTTGATACATGGTGTCCAATGATATCAATTTAATACTGTGTATTCTATTAGATGCATGCATAGTATCAAATTTATATCATTTGAAACAGCTAAAACAACTGAAATATGTTCAGGGATTTCTAAGGTTGTTTTTTTTTTACATTTTTTTAAAAAACAAAACATACATGTGGGCTCCACTGAGATATTTTGCTCTTTTTAGTGGAATAAATTTGCTGGTAAACCAAGCTCCATTATGGTTCTAGAAATAATTGAAGCACCAGGATGACAGAAAAATGAATGAAATAGAGTGCATCTAACATGAATTTATATTTGATTTCTAAGAGTACTGAACAGCTGAAGACCAGGTATAGACAATGGCTTCTCCTGGGGTGTATCTCTTGTCTACTTGTTTTATTTCTTTTAATATGTATTACTCTTTCATAAATACATTTGAGTAAACTGTCAAACTATCTACTCCGACTAACAGTATATTTCTGATGTGGAAGAATTTGTCCACAATTCCTTTTACCTGAAATTATCAAACCTTTCTGTTCCATTATAGTGAATGGTGTTATTACATGTTGTTTGTCTTACAGAAGGTAAGAATTACACACATGCTTTTTACAAGTTTTGCAATATATATGAAAGGGAGAGTGCCCACTGCACTGAAAATTATGGCACAGTACAAGATTATAATTGAGAAGGCAATGTGAGATATCCATATTTTCATGGAATTATAGTGCAATACCCAAATACATAAAGGAAAATATTCAGGTTCTCAATTAATTTAGGGATTATGATATAGAATTTATTATTAGCTGCTAGATTGTTAAATGTTTATATTTTTTATTTTTTAAAAAAATGTTCATTTCTCAGAATCACTTGGTGAGATAGCCAGTCATACAAATGGAATGAATAAATGAATGAATGAATAAAATGAAGCTGTCTGTTATAAAATACTAATGTTCATTAAATTTATAGCGCTATATAGTAGGGCTGTATGGTGCATCAGATGTTTTGAAGCATATCTAACTAAGAATGTTGCATCTTTTTAAAGTAGCAGTTTATCTTCCCAGACCGCAGTGCAGTAGGCAATCCCAGAAAAATGCACAATTGCTTTAAGAGTTGCAGATTGGTCCTACTTTTACACCTCTATGCACTCCAGATGACTTTTTAGAAGTGGATCCTAATTTAGAAGTGGACCCTAATGTATAATGAGGTATAATTAGAGCCAGAAGGAAGTGTGACTTTGGAATTCACACTTTGGAACATTAAATTCCTCTCCCCCCCCCCCTCCCAGCATACAGTACAAAACAACACTTTTATTTTTATTGTTTAAAATGAAAACTTGATCATGTCTCCAAGTAATTTTCAAACAATAAATATATCTTTTTAAAATAGGTTTTCTTTATTCTGAAAAGTGAAGAATAAAATACCAGTTTGAACTGAAGTATGTTATGCTGAAATTTCATGCAAAATGACTTAATATTTTTAGCAGCCTTCTTTCGGCAGTTCTGTATATGGTTCACTCCTGTTCTTGAATATATTTTTGCTTACCTAAAGGGAATGCACATGCTGAACTGTGAGTTCATAATGAAAAACATAAAACTTAACAAATGTTTTCAGGTCAAATCTAGAATAGCGAGATTATTATTTCAAGAAATAATAGTTTGAGGGTCATACTGAGTTTAGTTATTTGTAGAGAATTGATTAAATGTTCATGATCGAGTGTCCACAAGTTTATTATATTCCAGAACATAAAAAGGTTTTGTGTTTTTTCAAACAACAACAAAATTTTCAGTCAGCTCCCAAATCTTAAATTAGGTCACAATGTGCAGTGTATTGGGCATTGTATGCAATTTAAAGCCATTTGTAAAACTGCTAACTGATTGTACCATCTCTTTCTATTTGTTTATAAGTTTTCAGCTATAAACTATAAGAAAATGTGATTTATATTGGGTGCTCTGTTGTAATGTACTTGTTTTTAGGACTTGGAACTGCTCATGAAATCCATTGTGACTACAGTTTTCTTGTTAAATAGTTCAAATCCCATGCAAAATAAATACTTCTATCTAGTATATTGCATATCTGTAACACGATAAAACATAAGGGATCTGTTTACCTCATTTGGATCAGTACATGCATTTATGGAGAGAACTGGGAAGTAACAGAATCTTCCACAGAGAAGCAGATGATGAAGCAGCAATTTTTCTGTAATTCCTCATTTTTTTATCCTTTTGTCAGAAGTACTTCCCATGCTTTCTCCTCCATGCTGCATTGAAAGCCCAGGATGGGTTGACTCCTTCCTATGACGTCATTTAGCTGAGTCTGTACTAAGATATAAAAGTCAGCCCCCGGGAGAGACCCCAGCTTTTGACTCCGCTCCTTTCAGTCACTAGCTGTGTCTCTGAAAGCGTTTCTGTTAGAGAGCACTCACCAGCAATCTTCAGTACCTTTTTTCCTCACTTCAAGCAGCTCCCAGGGCAGCTGCTCTTCCAGGAGAGTTCACTATTTGGAAATATTTATTGGATTCTCAGTTAAATATTCTCCTTTGCTTCAGTAGATCATATGCAATATTGTTAGGGAAACAAATTTATGAATTAGAACTATTTATACCTAAAATGATATAATTTTTTTCTTTTGTTACATTTTTCATTTCATTTTTAAATACTTTCTGTTTTGTTTTGTTATTTGACAATCTATGTATTTTTACTTTTAGGTTTGGATTTTTTCTGTTTATCATTATTTTAAAAGCAATAAAAGAATAAATTAAAAACTAGTTTCAAAGGTATGGTACAAGCATAGTTTGAAACCTTTAGATTTAAAAAACTAGGAAGATATCTTCATTTTTAAAAGGTAAACACTTGTCAAGTTGCAAGAATCAAATGTCTATGCTTTGTTTTATATAGAAATAATTCCTTATTACTGTTTACTTATTTTTTTTAAGTCAACTATCTCTATTTCTCATTATTTAAATCAAAGAAGTTTAATTAAAATAGCTCTTTATTCTATGCTTGCGAATATTGACTTCACAAAATATGTGTTAAATCTCTGAAGTGATAGAATTATATTTTCTTTGTAAGATTTTTGCTGCAAGAGCATAGACAGTGCCATTTATAGTTCAGTAGCATTAATAGCATAACATTCAGATATTGGTTCATAATAATAGAGCCTGTTAATTAGTTTAATAAAGTATTGCAATGAGATAGTTTTGTTCTAAAGAATATTTGTCAGAAAACAATATTGTCAATGAAGCCTTATGTGGAAATTATAGCTCTAACTAAAAGTGTTTAATAACAAGACATAATTAGTTTTCTTTATTTCTATTTATTTACTGAATCTTTAAGTTGGTTGAATTTTAAATGGTGTACAAAGCACTTCATTATCATAATCAATGAAAAGAATAGAAAATATACACTACAACAAAATCTAGGTGTTTATTTAAATGCTTGTTTGATTTCCAGTTAAATAACATAGGTTGACCACTGCCCTCTAAAAGGAAATTGAGACAAGACATATTTTGAGACAATTCTTTCAGAATGAATGGTCTTTTCCTAGCTGTTCTAATCCTGCCAAAATTAATTATATTCTCCTCAGAAAACAAGTATTTAAAACTACATTGGAGATAGGTTTAATATTTTTTACAATGAAAAGTAAGATATAACAACTGCTACCAAAATGATGACAATTCTGATTAATATTCATATTCAAAAAGCAAGAACTTTTGTAAAATGTTGGTGGGAACCTTTATGGTTTATGAAACAATTTGATTTCTAGTGGGTAATGAGGATAAATGACATTTCAAGTTAACTTGAGCAGAAATAATTGGATGCATACATTTGTTTCATTAGATAAGGCAGTGATAGCTAACCTTTTTGTCCTCGCGTGCTAAAAGTATGTGCGCACGTGTGCCTGCACCCATAATGCACTGCGCATGCGATCCCTCGCCGCCTGCGCATAGCACACGCGATCTCCATGCTTGTGCCATGCACATCTGTGCATGCTTGCATGACCCCCCCCACGTCTCTGCATGCATGTGTGCCCTCCCATGTGCCACGGGCCTCTGCGCATATGCACGTAACCCCCAATGTGCACTGCTCATCTCTGTGCATGCGTGTGTGTGTCTCTCTCTCTCTCTTGCCTTGCCTCATGTGCATGCACGGCAGATACCCAACAATCAGCTGGCTAGCGGGAGGCACGCATGCATGAGCAGTGCACTTGATCTGGGGTGACGGCTCGTGTGCCAACAGAAATGGCTCTGCATGCCACTTCCGGCACGTGAGCCATAGGTTCACCATCACGGAAATAAGGGAACATACCTGAATTGTTACTCAGTTGTAAATAGAAGTCAGATTCATCTTATGCCTGAAATATTTCGCAGAATTTAGAAAGAGGTCAGATTATTTGGGGAAGTGGGTGATCCTAAATTATGTTATTCACAGATGTGACCTAGAAACAACTGACATATTCCATCAGGAGAAAAGAAAACAGCAAAATTATCTTCAACTTCTACCGCAAAACCTGGCAGTCACTGCCCTTGCATCCAGAGAAAGGAGAAGCATAAATCATTGAGAAAAATCTTTTCTTTTCTATGAACTCTTTATATCTATAAGAAATCTGGAAAAGGTATTCTCAACAGAAGTGACACATATCTTGTCACATTTTATTATTTAACGAAATAGTTAAAATCAGATATTAAAAGCTACTTTACTTGAAAGAAACACATGCACAAAATTCATTTTTATGAAATACCTTATCTAGTTTGTTCCCCCCCGCCCGTGTATATATACTGTATATATGTATGT